ATAAATAAATTATTGATAGAAATATTATTTGAATAAGTAAAAATAAAGTTTCAATTACAGAAATGCGTCTATACAAAAATATCTATACATACAGGAAATACTCACGGTCATTTTTCTGCGTTTTAAGATAAGCATATTCCATACAAGTTTAAGTCTAATTTTTTCCAAGTTTTTTGTATACAATGGATAGTACTACGTTATGCATATATAATTATTATTATTTCATAATCATGAATAATATAATATTATTAAAAAGCTGAAGTAATAAATAATATCTTTATTATTAGTTATATTAAAAAAAAATAGTGATTTATTTATTAATAAATAATCTCGTTTTTCACGAATAAATAAAATTCTAATAAGAAACTTTGAAAAATAAAATAATAAACAATGAAATAGTTGGTTAATTCAAAGAATAATATCATTTGAAAAATATTTTGAAATCTTTGTAAAACATTATTAATGTTTTCTATAAATAATAATAGTGTCATGTCACTAAATTTTATCCTTACAAAGTGAGAAACACTTTCTCTGATAGAAACAAGTGAAAGGGGAAGAAAGAAATGAAAAGTGAAAAGAAGTGGGGAAAAATAAAATGAAAATAGAAGGGAAAGTGATATAACAGTTCAAGGAGTCGAAATCTAACGGTATTATTTAGAAACGAAATAACTATATCCGATCGGTAATCTAGTTATTTGATCACAATTTAAATTATAGATGAAATATATATGTAGTAATATTTTATAAAAGTATAATTATAATTATAAATATTCAAAAGTTATTATATTATTCTTATTGCTATATTTATGATTTATAATTAAACAATTATAATACTTATTTAAAGTAATATATTCCTTATATATACATATATATTATTTAATGTAAACTTGCATAAGAATTTGTAAATATTTTATAATGTATTAGATTTTCCTTGATATTTCCATATTCTTTTTTTCTTTTTCTTTTTTTTTATATAAAAAAAAATAATTCTTTAAGTTAAAATAAAGTTTTAAAATATTATCATATCAAACACGTGAGAAATATTGAGAAACTTTCTTTTCCTTAATTATTAAAATTAACTAATAATGGATATAATAATTGATACGAAAGGTGATGAAGATTTGATGAAGAAAGATTGTTTAATAGAAAATGATGATGATTTAGATTTTGAAAATCATGGTAATTAAGTTTGTTTCACTATAATATTTATAGAGGTTATAATACTTATAGAGGTTAGAAGTTAAAAATGTATTATATATATATATATTAATTATTTATATATATTAATTTAATAGGTACACAGGCACTCAAATTTTTTGATATAGAGGAAGATTTAATTAAAAATGAAGCTACAACAAAAAAGATAGTTCGTAATGTAACTAAAGATATCGACCTCGATGAATTTGAGAAAGATATGGGTTGGTCAAATATAAGAAAGAAAAATAATCCAATATTTAATCAGGATGTAACTCATTTGACACAAGAATTGACAGCAGTAGATAAAATACTTGAAAAAAGTATTATTCAATCTGGTTTTGAAAAGTTAGAAGCTGTACCTCCTTATGAGCTTAGTACAAAATTGCTAAAAGCTAAAAGACGTAAGGAGCGTAGTAAAACTAAGGGCAAAGATTGGTTTAATATGGGTGCTCCTGAATTAACACCAGAAATTAAACATGATCTTCAAGTTATAAAAATGAGATCAGTATTAGATCCTAAACGATTTTACAAAAAGAATGATCTTAAAACATTACCACGATACTTTCAAATTGGTAAAGTTATTGATTCACATTTGGATTATTATTCTGGACGTCTTACTAAGAAAGAACGTAAGAAAACAATTGTGGATGAACTTATGACTGATGCTCAATTCTCTAAATATAATAAACGTAAATATAAGGAGATCATTGATGAGAAAAGAAGATTGCATTATAAAGCTCATAAACATGCAAAGAAACTTAAGGGGAAAAAAAAATAATATATGTAATTAGCATATATAAATTTCAAATCAACATTTTAAATATATTTGTAATTACATTATCTCATTAAATGTGTTTTAAATTTATGTGTTTTTAATAATTATAAAAATATAAAAATATATATGTAGTTTTAACATAGTTATAAACAAGGTTAATATAATCCTCCTGTAACATCTATGGATGCACCATTAATATAAGAACTCTTGGAAGATGCTAAAAATGTAATAACTTCTGCCACTTCTTCTGGTTTTCCCATTCTATGAAGGGGAATTCTTTTTATAAATAATTCCTTTATATTATCAGGTATAGTTTTTGTCATAGGAGTTTCTATAAAACCTGGTAGCACCGTATTAACACGAATTCCAAATCTACAATATGATTGATAATATTATAAATTTATAATTATATAATATTTATATAATATATAAATATTATTTCTTACTGTCCAAATTCGAGAGAAGCAGTTTTTGTAAGAGCTATTACTCCAGCTTTTGATGCAGCATAATTGGCTTGTCCCATGTTTCCTATTTTTCCAATAATAGAACTTATATTAATAATTGAACCACCTTTATTTACATTAGCATTAATCATTTCTTTTACTGCTGTTTGAATTATAAAAAAAGTTCCTTTTAAATTCACATTAAGTACTTTATCAAAATCCTCATTAGTAAGTTTCAAAATGAATTGATCACTTGTAATACCAGCAGAATTAACTATAATAGTAGGTGGAGTTGAATATTTATTTATTGCATTTTTAAATGCTTCTTTAATACTTTGTTCATTTAAGACTTCTACATTTAATGCTAAATGTCTGGTATCTAAAAATTAATATATAAATTTTATTATATTACTATTATTTATATTAGTACATAATAAAAAAATATTTTGTATCAAACCATTTAAAGATCTAATAGTTTCTTCAGCATTTTTTAAGTTTAGATCGGTAGCAATAACACTAGCTCCTTGTTTTGCCAAAATATGGCATACTTTTCTACCTATACCGCTTCCAGCACCTATAATATATTATAATATCTTATATAATAGCTCTAGTAAAAAATATTTATCATAAATATAAATTTTCGTTTAATCTTTAATTTTTTTTTCTACAAATACCTGTTACAAAAGCTATTTTTCCAGCTACCATTTTTTTTATTTTTGAAAACGATTAGTACAATATATTAGTACAATATAATAAATAAATTATAAAACACTAATAATTTGATTTATTTATACAACGTAAAGAAATTAAATTTCACTTTATCAGATTATTTTTTTTTTAATATTTTTTTTGTTTTCTGATAATACATAATATAAAAACAAATAGTAAAGGAATAGCAAATATAGAATAAAAATTAAAAAATCATCTCTAAAACGGCTTAAATAAAACGTG